GTTGAATGATTAATCGATTAGTTGTTTAAAATTTTTTCAAATCGACTAGTTGGAAAGTTGGCAACTAGTTGGTTTTTTAACTAACGATTTGGAACACTACTATAAAATAATAAAGCATATACCTACCTGAATATTCCTTTGTGAATTGTCTATTGAATTCGACTTGTAACTTTAATAAACCTTTTCGAGACTCAATTCGACGGACTGAATTGACTTGTAACTTCGATTCAGCTTATTAAGACTCGAATTCTGATATATTCGTGGAATCAAATATTGCCATTCACGTTAGCGACTTGCAGGAATTGTGGTAGTGAGCGCCACCTACCTTAGTTGTCTACCCTTGTTAATACATCACGTGATCCCAAAGTCATCACTTGATTATCGTCCGCTTTTACCTCACCATCCTTGTTGATATTTCCCTAATAGCATCGCCTGTAGTTGCATCGCCCCATTATCGCCCCCTTAATATTAAATCCCTCGTTTCATGTGTCATATTGTCTAATAGACCTCCGACAGTATAAACGATTCCTTTCATTACTCCAAGTTTATCATTATCTCCCCGTACACAGTTGGAGTTGAATTGGCCCTTCATTCATATAATTTTCATTAAGCTCTCCCATCAACGGTTACAATAGATTTGTTCCTGTGGGAGGAATTGAATTCGAGAAATTAAATGACCCAAATGCATTTGATTCAATGCCTCGTTATGCGTAATCAAAAATCTTGCAAATATTTTATTTACTAACGAATTGAATAAACGATATCTTGAAGGCGAGAAAGTATATGCTAACTCTCTTCATCCAGGTATAATAAAATAAATTTTAAATTTAATTAAAACAACTATATTAATTAACCACTTAATTAATCAATCAATATTATTTATTCTTGTTGTTATTTATTTAAGAATCGTGGATACGAGCATGTTAAGAAGGAATGATTTATCTCTACCAGAAACTTCTCTTCCTGCTTCAATCTCAGCTGATAATGGAGTTATTACTACTTTGTATTGTGCTACAAGTCCAGAAATCGATGAGAAAAATTATCGTGGAAAGTATTTTGAACCATTTGGTGATGAAAGTGAATGATCTTCAATAATGATTTGGCTAAAAGGCTTTGGGAATTTACCGAGAATTTGATAAATGAAAAATTACCACAATATTGATTGATTTATTCATTTATTATGTAACTTTTTCTGTTATAAATACATAGTTAAATAAATATCATGTAACCTATCATTAAATAGTTGATATCCAATAATAAATTTTAGCGTAAATTTGGCTTTTAAATTTTTTTTTTCCCAATTCATTCTGCGAGATTTGCATCATTTCAGGTTCTTGTGCACTTTCACGTATAACTTTATGTTTCTTGTGTAACCGTCCTAAACTTTGGAGGCAACTGTTGTTACACAACGAAGTTTCACAATTAAACTTTCGCTTGTGCAACATTTTAATAGTTATGCAAAGTTTATCATAGTTTAGTATAGTTATAGAGTCTACTCTAATTAGACTTTATATCGTTGTACCACACAAGTGTAAATAATCTATAGCTTATTTTAGAGTTTATTCATAGATATATATAGAACGTTATGTATTTTAGTTCTAGAATTGTTGGTATTTTTAGTTGGACTTTAGTAAGTCTGGAACTTTCTAGATTGATTGGTGGGAATAGAGATATTGGTATTGTTAGTGTCTGGGACACAATAAAGAGATATTAGTTTAGTACTTTCTGGTGCCTTGT